AAGGAGTACAGGAGGAGAGAGCTGGAGCTGCATGCTGGCTTCAAGGAAAAACTGCTTGAGCTGCAAGCTGAGATCAGGGGAAGTGAGACCAGCACTAAACCCAAGTCACTGAGTGAGTATCACACTTTGATGAGGAGGACTTGTTTCTTCCATGAAATATATATAATTGTTTTAATCTTCTGTTTTGATTATCTTTGCTAGTTGGTGACACAAACAAATTTAAAATCTGGGGTATTGGTCAAAAGAAGAAGGATGGAAAGGAAAGGAGGAAATCATAGATGCGAAAATCAGCCAGGAAATTGAAAACCTGGATAAAAGCATACGGAGATCCACAGTTGATCTTCAGAGCAGCATGGAATTGTTGTTTCCTGACTGTAAGTAAAAATTGTAATATTATCTCCAGCATTCACATTAAATCTGAGCACAACCATATCAAATTGTGTCGTGTTTAATTCCCAGTGAGAGGAGAAAGTCCAGCACCGTCTGTTGCTGAGTCTTTACCAGGCAAGAGGAACTCCAAACAGACACTTTGACAAAGTCCTGGGTTGGCTGTCGACACTCCAGATCAGCACAAATCTAGAGAACAACCTGACCTTCAACTCCTCTCAGACCTCAGGGTACGATCCGTGCTACCACATGACGACTTGGACTTCAACACAGAAGCTGATAATTCTTCAAATGAATAGTCTCAACAACTGACATATAAGAAAATGCAATTTTACGAGTGGGAATTTGCACTCAGGGAATTTTTAGTGTGTTGAAAAAGTTGAAGGGTATGCTTTCAATATTATGGAAGAATCGATATTATGAAATCATTATATAATACAGTACTCTGGGCAGTGATGGACTAAAGGTCAGAAACCTACGCCCCACTATAAGCTGCTCAGTGGCCACAAGATCAGACTGTGACTGTACTGGCAGCTTCAGGGTGTGAATGTGGGTAATTGTAAGAGAGTGAAGTAGAGTGTCCCGGTAAAATAGCATTTGTACTCAGCCGACCTGAGCTTGATACAGGTTTAAGTTTTTGTTATATATCAATGTAAAACACTATAAGATATACGCACTTGTAGTATGCTATAAGTGAATTCAATGCAACCTTATAAGCTTATATTGAAGAAGTGTTCTTACTTTGCCGGACAATATATAAGCTACACCATACAATGTAAATGTGATATTAAATATTCCAGTGATTAAACTAGATTTGCTTATTGTTTTTCTTTAGGGCTTTATTATTCTATACTGTTTGAAATACTCTCTTCCATTTTCATAAGGGTTTCAATAAAGCTGAGGGAATTTAACTCCCAACACTTCTGGCACTTTATGACAGTTGAGTAAAAAAGCCCCCACCTAATATATATATATATATAATATATAGAATATATATATTATATTTTTTTTTTTTTGCAAATATGATTTTTATTGTTTCCTTCACAGACAATAGTGCGATGTGTCTTCCTACAAATGAGTATTCAAAAGAACAGCATGTACAGATAAAATACAATTAAATCAAAAATGAAAAAGATTAAAGATAAAAATTAAAAGTAAAAAAATTAAAAATACAACAAAGTCTATTATGATAATAAATATATTGTACATATACACAAATACCTATATGTGTAATACCTCTATACACCTGTAAGCATACATACACATCTATATCTAAGTGAATATTGATCTGAAAGGAAACTTTTTCCTCCCATCCAATAATCTTATCTCTGTCCACCAGTCAAACATGCTGCAGGCTTGGTAATGTTTCCCTGATCTGTGATATAAAATGGTCCCAGATCTCTGTATTAGTGTCCATTTTCCATTTCATGTCTCTCATAAGAGGATTAGGCATCAGTAGGGTTGCCCCACCCACAGCAACACCTTAACAGTTTAATTTAGCCTGGCCTCTGCAAAGGGCTCCAGTGCAGTAATAGGCAAGAGAAGAGAGAGTGGGTTGCCCTGCTTTGTCCCACATCCTGCAGGAAAGGAGATGGCCTCAGACCTTTAGTTACTACCATAGATTTAGGATGACTGAATATAAGCTTCGTAATATTTTGAAACATGGGTCCAAATCTAAATCCTGTGAGTGAAAATTAGAATTCTCCAGCTGATGGAACCAAACGTTTTTCTGCATCTAAAGACAAAGCACTATTATGTTCTCCATGTCTTTTGTATTCCAGATTAAATGCAAGAAGTGTCTTATGCTGTCAGAGGAGGTCCTGCCCTTCATAAACCCCACCTGCCCTGTATGTATAATTGTCTTCATTAAATAATTTACTCTCAACGCGAAAACCTTTGTAACAACTTTAGAGTCTTTACCATTTTTAATATAAGGATGATTATTGATTGTCAGGTTCGGAGTTGCCCTGTGTCAATAGCAACGTCGAATTTCTTTTAAAATCTCAAGGCTCATATTCTCTTCTGAGAGTTTAGGGAGATTTAGGTTCAAAATTCTCTTGCTCTGTCTTACGTCCATCTGACCTCTGATCTGTAGAGTCCTCATAAAAACTTAAACACATTTACTTTCTTTATGATTGGTCAAAAGATGTCTCTTCGGAAATCTTGGTCGCAAGTCTTCATCAATAGTCCCACATCTTTACATAAAGCCCTTATACAGTCCTGAGTCCTGGATGTTCTAACAATGCCAGACCTGGATCTGTCCAAGAACACATCAAGCACTTGGTTATAGTCAAAAGTCCAAAATTATTTTCTTAAGTTGCAGAAAGAAGTCATGATCCCCCATATTCGATGCATATAGGTTGTCTAAAACTAACCAACCAACCATCTAAATTAACCAAGAGAATTATTGCCCATCTTTGTGTCTAAATTCTCTCTCTACCTTAATATTAACCTTCTTGAAAATACTGCAGATACTTTTTTGTGGTAAAAGTGGTAGCCCAGCCAGCTTAACACGTTTAACCTTTTCACATATGAACCCAAGCCATTTACATTTCAAGATGAAATCACAAGTACAGTAATACATATGACTACCGACCTGAATATGATCACCAGGCATATGTGATTCCACAAAAGTAATTTTAACCATACAGCTCTTACACAGTGCAGAACAGAACAAGAATAAGACGGTGATGTCCCTACACTGAAGGCATGCATGTAAGAGCACTGGGTTACAAATGTTGTTCCACCACGTTCGTCAAGTGTGAATGAGATTCACCCTTTGCAATATTTCACTGTTATTTAAAGGATGTATTGTCAAGAGAGTAATACACGCCTACACAGAGGCGGCACAACACCCATAAACTCTGCCTGCTATGAATAAGCAGAGTGCAGAGTGCACTGCAGTGTTTCCGATTCATCACCTAGACTAAATTTTTCCCACACAGTTTCATAATGAATCGAAAATGTATTCACTCTTTTCATAATAAAACATAAAAAATGTTGATTTGTGCCTTTACTTCTTTGTAGAACTGTACACAGAGCAATGATTCACTCAGCCCCTTTTGCCCCTGAGGCACACAGCAGGCCTGTGTAAGTAAGAAAACCAGTTAGACTACTCTAACCAAATGTGTGATACTGCCTTACAGACAGTTGAGTGCAGTTCACTTTGTTGTCTCGTTGCGTACAACGAAGGTTGGTTGAACTGGCACTAAAATATTCCTAAATACCCGTTTTCTTCCAATATTTTTTACCTGACACAGTGACCTCTGCAGAGCACTCGGATGTTCATGGTGGTAACTGAAAAGAGAAGACCAGAAGAAATGGAAAACAATCTTGTGTGAGTTAATCAAGAAGAACTGCAGGTAACATACTTAGAGATACAATAATCTAAAGCTTGAGTATTTACTGGTAACAAGGATTCTGTATTGTATGAATTATTTTTTTCAGATCTTTATTCTTTTTTCAGATTACAGGATGTAATGTTCAGTGCAATCTGCAATCTGTTCTGGATAAAATCAGCTTGTTCCAGCACAGTGAACAATGTGTAAAAACTTCACTACTACTATTAGTGATGGTCGGTCTGCGAACGAGAGCGATTTTTTTATTATTTTTTTTTTATTTATTTATGTATATTTTAAGTTATGTTAATTTATTAATAAGCCATATATATACTATAACATATGTTATATTTATGTTTTTTTACATAGTTATTCATTTTACACATAATTTGGTTAATAAATTAATTTAAATAACAATAAAATCTGAGGAGCCACTTGGGGAGCAGCCAGAGCCGGCTCTTTTTAGTGAGCCGGACAGCCGAGCCAAAAGAGCCGGCTCTCCACAAAGAGCCAGAAATCCCATCACTAACTACTATTGTACTTAGTATTATGTATGTACATGGTATTTATGCAAACCAGTTAAGGTAGAAAGTAAAAGACTATAGGACAGAATGTACAAATAGGTCCAGGAAGTTAGATTTTTTTCCTGGTAAACAGTAACTTGATCCGATAATAACCTTGCCGGTAAAGCTCCACCCAAACAGGTTCTTATAAATACTGCTCAAATTATTTTTAACTGTTGTTGACAATGTAATTTTACCCTGTGATAACCTCTGAGTATGTCGTAGGATTGGGTGTGCCTAGTATTTTTAGAGGTGAACATTGAACTGAATCACAACAAGTTAGATAAATAATTAAGAAATTAAGTATTTGGTTGTTGTGTTGCACTGACCTACATTAGATTTTCCCGTCACTCATTACATTTTCCGTCTCGGTTGCATATTTTTATCACGAATCACACAATGCCAGTGACGATGGGAGGTCATGAGTCATTCTCAGCTGATTTTGTTGATCTTAAATTACCCTGCAGCTTCTTTTCATGTGCCTCAGAATTATTTGTTTAGTTCAGGGTCATTCTAAAAATGTCTCAGGTTTTTGTCTCGCATCTCTTTTATTCTTTAGACCACGTCTCACAAATAAAAAAGGATTAATAAAGTCAAAAATAACTGCTGCAAAAACCCTGGGGGCAACACAAGCACAGGTTTAGCAGAGTATTCCTCTTGTGTCAGTCATCTGAAGCAGCAGAGACATCTGGTGTGATAACCTTGTCACTTTAGTTTTGATGGTTTACTAGGGAGGTCTCGCTCAAGTTTTCTTCAACCCACTATGAGTCCTTCATTATTTTGTTTATCTACTAATACCAGGTCCAATCTAATACTCTTCACCTGACAGATTCTCTTCCTCAGTTTGAGGACATTCTCTGACTTCTTTGTATGAAAGGTTCTACACCAACAAAATACATAATAAAGCCGTTTCACAAAGTTATTAAAAACATGGCATTTTGGTAAAACTGCCATTCTTTATTTATCAATTTTCCTTTGCTCTTCAGGGGAGAAAGAGAGCATCACCCTGCCAGAGGTCAGACTCATCCTGATTGGTGGGAGATGGGCTGGCAAGAGTTTGTCTGGCAACACTATACTGAGAAGGGAAAGGTTTCTGTGTGGCCGAACAAGAACAGCCCAGTCTGAGGTGAGACATGAAATAGTGGAGGGCAGGAAGCTCATTGTGGTGGACGCTCCAGGATGGAACAGCTCTCTTTCTCTCAAAGATATCCCAGAAGGGGACAAGCAACGGTTTAAACTGAACCCATCCAGGTGTCCGCCCGGACCACAGGTTTTTCTCCTTATAATCCCGATAGATTCAGCTTTCTCTGTGGCGCAGAAGAGGATCGTGGAGGAGCACATGAAGCTCCTGGGGGAGCGGGTGTGGAGATACACCGTGGTGCTGTTCACCTGTGGGGATTACCTTGGAGGGAAGACGATAGAGCAGCACATAGAGAGCGAGGGAGATGCACTCAAGTGGTTAATAGAAAGGTGCAAGAACAGGTACCACGTGATTAATAACAAGGAAAAAAGCAACTCATCTCAGGTCACACTGCTGCTGCAGAAGATAGATGAAATTGTCAGTGACAACAATGGCTCCTACTATGAGGTAGATGAACAGACTTTGACCATCATTGAAAAGAAGCAACGAGAGGTGGCTGAAAGGGCGGAGAAGAGACGGAGGAGGGCTGAGGAACAAAGACAACAAATGACAACACTCATTCCAGGTGAGTGTGACACTTCCTGTGGCATGTTATATGTTCCTGTATCATTGCCTACAGGTGCAAAGGGAAAGTTGGACATTTCAGGTAATGTGCTCATTTGCTTTCAAGCTGGGAGCAAGATGAGAAGATCAATATCACTCTCATGTCAGACTGCTAAATATAAAGCTACAAACAGCAGCCAGTTAGCTTAGCACAAAGACTGGAAACAAGTGGAACCAGTTAGCCTGGTTCTGTCTGGAGGTAGAAAATTCCAGCAGCTACTCTGAAAGGTCACCAATTATATCTTGTTTATTTCATCTGTACAAAAACTGACTGCACAGTGACTTCATGGAGGGTCCACTGGTTATCCAGCAACTGGTCCTGACCAAGAGATAAACAAGGTATAAGATGTTAATTTGTGACATTTACAGGAGCTGTAAAAAATAAAACTTTAGAGGCAAACTAGCTTGTCGTAGCATTCTCAGCAAGAAAGTGAATAAACGTAGTTCCAAAAATGTCAGACTATTTCTTTAAAGCATTACATATGAAGAGAACCTGGAGAGTCTTATAGATAGAAATTAATATTTATTAAGTGACCTTTAACTGGAAATTATAAAAAGACGTTACAAATGAACAATTGAATCTGTAAAAAAATCTAATTATGAAGCTGTTAATAATTTTACAAACAACAGAGTGGCAAGATTAGGAATTAATAGAGTTTATAAGATCATGGAACATAACAAGCACTTGTCAAATCTTGTAGGGTTTTAAACAAAATGTAAAGTGAAAAAAATGACTAATCAAGCTTTGTTATGTCTGATAACAGAAGAGATGAAACCTCCAACACTCAAGATGATTCTCTTGGGAAGCCGCAACGTTGGGAAAACCTCGGTGGTGAACACCATCTTGGGAATCAAAGAGCAAGAAGACGGGAAAAGGACGGCACGCTCAGTGATCCGGCAGGGTTCTGTTGGTAAAACTGAAATAACTCTTGTGGACACACCGGGTTGGTGGAAAGGTTTCCCTGCCTTTGACACTCCTGAGGCAATCAAAGAGGAACTGGTGCGCAGCATGTTTCTCTGCCCCCCTGGGCCCCACGTCTTCCTGGTGGTGATAGATGCAGATGCATCCTTCAATGCCAAACACTTAGACGCCTTGACAACACACGTGGAGCTTCTCGGGGAAGGAGTGTGGAGACACTCTATAGTAGTTTTCACCAGAGGAGACTGGCTGGGATCACGATCCATAGAGGAGTACATCGAAGGGGAGGGAGAGGCCTTACAGTCTCTGGTTGAACAATGTGGAAACAGATATCACGTCATTGATAACAAGAATACTGACAGTGGTACTCAAATCACAGAGCTGCTGGAGAAAATCACTGCGACTGTCGTGGGAAATAGTTGGGGCCATTTTGTCCCTGATGAGCAGAAATTTAAGACTATTGAAGACAGAAGAAGAAGAGTGGAGGAAAGAGCAAGACTCAGGGAAAGTCAAGTCATGGCCAAAAGAAAAACCTTCAGAGGTACAGTATGGTTCAGAGTCATCTTAGTGTCATAAATATATTAGCCAGGCATTGTCAGCGCTGTCACACACACACACACACACACACTGAATAGATACTAGAGGTGGACAAAATTAGAGAAACACAACATAACGCTGCTGCAGTAAATACAAATCTGGTGAAACGATGTTTTGTTGAGACTGTTGGAGGTGATTGATGGGTATCTCTAATACCACAGCGTGCTATAAAGTATTTATCCCATTTCAGTGTCAGTCAACTGGCCAATACATTGGCTTGTATTATGTTGTTGTTGCAATAGTAACAAGAAACTGCAGTATATACTGAAGTGGACACAGTTTAAGACTTTAAGACCTGACGATAAGAACTTCACCCTCAGGGAACGTAGAAACAACAAAGACTGACCATTATCACACCGCTGTTTATTCATATTATATGTGCAGCATGTGATTCTGTCTTTCACCCTTTTTCTTCTCAGGTCCCAGACACCAGTTACAGGAGCTGAGGATAGTGATGATTGGTCAGAAGACGTCTGGAAAGACTGCAACAGGAAATACCCTCCTGCATAAAGAAGTGTTTCCCACCTGTCAGACTGAAAACTGTCAAGTGGATCAAGGGGAAGTTGCTGGCAGGAGGATCACAGTGATCGACACCCCGGGCTGGTGGGGTGAGTCCTCCCGCTGCACTGAAGACACTGACAAAGAAATTGCCAGAGGTCTTTCACTGAGCCCATTAGGGGTTCATGCTGTTCTGCTGGTCATTCCCTTGGACCTGGCCTTCAGCAAGGTTCAGAAGATCGCTCTGGAGGAACACATGAACCTTTTCGATGCCAGTGTCTGGAAACACACAATGGTCCTGTTTACATATGGAGACAAGCTGGCAGATAAATCTGTAGAGGAGCACATTGAGAGGGAGCCTGGTGCTCTATACTGGTTGGTAGACAAGTGTGAGAACAAGTACCATGTCATGAACAATATGAAGAAAGCTAATATGAGTCAGGTCACCGAGCTGTTTGAGAAGATAGAGGAAATGGTGGCAGGGAACAATGGCCGACTCTTCTGCCCCAACATGAGGGACGTCCACCTGAGAATTGACGATAAGTTCAAGAGGAGGCAGGTCAAACACGTGCTGAGGCAACGACTGGAGAAGGAGTACAGGAGGAGAGAGCTGGAGCTGATGCTGGGCTTCAAGGAAAAACTGCTTGAGCTGCAAGCTGAGATCAGGGGAAGTGAGACCAGCACTAAACCCAAGTCACTGAGTGAGTATCACACTTTGATGAGGAGGACTTGTTTCTTCCATGATAATATATATAATTGTTTTAATCTTCTGTTTTGATTATCTTTGGTAGTTGGTGACACAAACAAATTAAAAATCCGGGGTATTGGTCAGAGGAAGACGGATGGAAAGGAGAAGGAGGAAATCATAGATGCGAAAATCAGCCAGGAAATTGAAAACCTGGATAAAAGCATACTGAGATCCACAGTTGAGCTTCGGAGCAGCATGGTCGGGTTGTTTCCTGACTGTAAGTAAAAATTATAATATTATCTCCAGCATTCACATTAAATCTGAGCACGACCATATCAAATTGTGTTTCTGTTTAATTCCCAGTGAGAGGAGAAAGTCCAGCACCGTCTGTTGCTGAGTCTTTACCAGGCAAGAGGAACTCCAACAGCAACTTTGACAAAGTCCTGGGTTGGCTGTCGACACTCCAGATCAGCACAGATGTAGAGAACAACCTGACCCTCAACTTTTCTCAGACGTCAGACTATGGATCTGTGCTACCACATGACGACTTGGACCTCCACGCGGAGGCTGATATTCTTCAATGAATAGTCTCAACAGACTGATCTCATACAAAACACATTCTAGCAGAACTGATCTGCGCTCAGGGAATTTTCAGTGGTATAAAAAAAAAGGATAGGCCTGTGAGAAGCATCATGGAAGAATTAATATCATGTAATAATATGATATAGTTCTTAGAGCAGTGGTTCTAAACCTTTACCAACTCATGACCCACTTGAAAATCTCAAAAATGTTGGTGACCCACATCCAACCTCATAACAATACAGAGGCCAAATAATGGTTTCTCAGTGCAGAGTGAAAGCAGGGGAAGCTCAGTTTATCTTTTTCGTTTGACGGGAGAGAGATCACTTTCCTTTGAACTCTTCCAATTGCTGTAGCAACAGTGTTTGCCATGGATATAATCTCTTAGCACTCAATCAGACTGAGATAGAAAACATGTGCACAATGTGGTCTTGCAAGCGACAACAAAAAAGTTCCTATCATTGGCTTATCACAGTGATAGGCCTTAGAACGAGAAAAAAAAAACAATGAAAGGAATTTTTCAGTGTTCAGAGTGTTTTGGGGACAATACTGTACATCATGTCCACCTTACTTATAACACTTTCCAATCATTAAACTGTACTAGATTTCCTATTATAAATATATACACACATACACACACACACACACACACACACACACACACACACACACACACACACATATATATATATTTATAATAGGACAACAGAAGACGGCAGTGGTGACAGATGTGGCAATCCCGAGTGACAGCAACATCACAAAGAAGGAACACGTGAAGCTTGAAAAGATACCAAGGGCTGGGAGAGTAGCTAGAAAAGATGTGGGGAGTAAAGGCAACAGTGGTGCCAGCGGTCATCAGAGCACTGGGGGCTGTGACCCACAAACTGGGAGAGTGGCTCCAGTAGATTCCAGGTACGACATCTGAGGTCTCTGTACAAAAGAGTGCAATCCTAAGAACGTCTAAGATACTGCGCAGAACCCTCAAACTCCCAGGCCTCTGGTAGAGGACCCGAGCTTGAGGAAGATATACCACCACCACCACCACCCATCGGGGGCGGGTCAGAGGGGGAATTTACATATATATATATATATATACTTTCTATACAGTTTTCACATTTGCAATGAAATAAACAACCAGGATTCCGGGTAAAAACAACATCAAACAAACAACAAACTGCAGTCTAGTTATGAATTCCAACCTGCATGGAATTACATGAATTCACACAATATATTGTTATTATCATGTAAACATGATGTCTATTCTTTGTTGTGATTCAATGTGATGGACAAAGACTTTTTTTCTGTTTTGCAATCTTATTCTATTTTTCAGAGTAATTCTGGTGGAGGGAAGACAATCTGGAGACTGTTTCACTGTATTTGTTTTTATGTGGAAGATTCAGAATTTCCCCATTGAGATGATAAAAACTTTTCACATAATGTCATTTTTTTCTGATTTCAAATAGAAAGATTCAATCTTTCCATTTCAATGTCAGAATACGCTTGGAGTTTTCCACAAAATAACTACACCTCACTAAATCAATAAGCAAATAAGACACAGAGTCAGGTTCAGGGCTAAAAAATAACCATGGTCCTCTATGTCTTAACATGTTGAGACTAGAACAGCAGTTAAATAGATATCATGTTTCTTCATAAGATCAGTAAAATAAATGTTGTTGTAAGTGTCAATTAAACTGCTGAGCAAAAAATAAAAGATTACTTTAATTTATTGGTGCCTCTTCATTAAATTCAAAGTGTGATGTGATGGAGAAGCTCCCCACCTTTTATCTCAGGTATAAATGTTTCTGTTTCAGGCAACAAACCTATTTTCCCCTCATGTTGTCTTTATCTATCACCTGTTAGAGGAGGGCATGCCCTCAAGTTAAGGATAGAAACTGAGCCAACAAATCAACAGAAGACAGATTTATGCCACCTGCATGAATTAGTTCATGTCAGATGTCTTCATCTTAGAAATAAATATGTAAATAATTTGTTTCCAAATGTAGGATGATGAACTGTTGTTATTTCCTTTATAAAGTGATTTAGCTTTTTAAAAAGAGTTAATTCCCAAAATCAGTTAAGCTTACTGTTCCTCTTACATGTTGTGGTCAGAGATGCATGGTCTGTGTTAAAATAAATCACATTTGAAAACAAAAAGCTTGGTTGCTCGCCATGTGTAATGCCACAATAATCCACAGACCTTGTTGTGTACAGTTTCAGTCACCTTTCAATCTGCTCTCCATGCTTAAGAAACAACCGGCCCATGTTTATATTATTATTAACAGAAAAGTGAGTTTTAAAAATTTTTTTTTTGGTGTGGGAACTTCAGCCTGACCCATACTGGAACTTTGTACTGGTACCATAATGGATATCTGGATAATGGCTGAACAAGGCATGTCATCCCTGGACAGTGAAAGCTTCATTCACTCTGCTGTGTCAGGGTGAATCAAGCTAACGTTTTCAAACCTCCTTTGCTAACATTTTCAACCAAACTGCCACAAATTGGGTATTTTGGGTATAAAATGTTGTTGTTCTCGGTTTACACAACGTTTTGCAAGCAAATAGATGAAAACACTGATGCCATATCTACACAATTCTCAACAAAGTTTAAGTAAAACCGTTTAACTCATATCAAAACATAGTTAAGAGACTGATGACAAACAGACTTTTAGCTAACTTGACTCACTCTTACCTGGTTTTCTAGCGGACATGAAGCCCTGTCACTTCCTTTCATCTTTTCATTGAGTTTTGGCGGGATTTAACACCTTAAAAACGAACTACTGTTAAAATAATATACGTCTATGTACCAACAGAGCATCTAGCTATGAGTTATGAACAGTGTTAGCTGCTGTTTGCGGTAATCTCCACTAGAGAGCCTAAGACCACCGCGCGAATCAGCCTCTGACGGTGTCGGCCTATCAGCAGACGACTCTCCGTGACGTAATTTTCAGGCGCCGGAAGAGAAAAATTGTAGTCGTAAGAAATGCTGATAGTGACATGACAAATCAAACTGCACTCTGAAAAACATACAACGGGCCAGGTAGAAAAACCAGGTGCGTGTTTTATATGATAACTAACGCTATGTTTATCTGTGATGAAAATATATTTGGCATCGCCCGTTACTGTCATTCTGTGCTGCTTTGAATGAACTGTGAATGAGCCCAGCCCAGTGTTGTTTGCTGACAACGGAGCTAATTATCGAGCTAACTTGACACTCAGGCTGCTTGTGTTCAGTGTTTTGACTTTACTTAGCGCTGAATGCACACGTACTGGTAACGATTTAGCGGCTAAGCTCATAATATTGACTTGTCATAACTTTGGTGTCAGGTGTGTCAGCTCTCTGTGCGTCTGTGTCATGTAAATGTTACCAGGCCTAACCCTGAATATCACCCTTCATGTGCCCATATAAACAGATTTTTGCTGAAGTCTCCCTCACAAATAGAAAGGATGGTAAGAAGTTTATCATTTACTCATTTGCTTTTGAAATGCAGCCATGTCCACTGCCTTGATACAGTACTGCATCAGGAGTAATTAATGATTTATACAAACCTTTTAGCAGCAGAGTAAACGGTACCTGCTGTGCCTCTCGCTCTTTCTGCTTTTAACAGCACGGACGAGTGAAGATCAAATCTACAGCCCAGCAGGAGGAGGAGAAAAGAAAGGAGCGAGAGAAGAAACTGAAGATATATGTGGCTGCACGAGATGCCTGTTTTTCCAAGGTCTGTTAGAAAGATGCACGTTTTACATGATAAGTCTGGTGATAGCCTATATTTTTATCACTGTCATCAAATCAAGTGAAAATATCAACGCCAACAATGAACATAGTTAAAATCTGATATGCTGTAGCTTACCACCACACTATCGGTCTGAGTGACATTTATTACAACTGTCATTACAATGAACATTGGAACTGTAGTTTTTGATTCAATCCCACATACGTCATCCTGCTGTTGTAATTACTCACTTATGCACCAAATGTGTATTAGTCTGTGTCTGAAAATAGCCCCCAACAAATGCATTATTTACTCCTGTTTGAGTAATGTTTGCCAAAAACTACATTGTCCAGCTGTTTAAGGAAATTAGTGAGCCCTTTAAAAAATGAAAACTGTTGACCTTTGACCTGTGGGAACAAATGGGCTTTGGGCTTAGTGCAACACAGAGGGAATGGAAGTTATAAAGTATTACAGGACACACTAACACATTGTTGGTTTTCGTCTTTTAATGGCCCTCTTTTAACTATAGGAAAAACATAGAACCGCACAAGTAGTATTGTTTAAATGACAGTGTTTAAGATATATATGATAGCTGAAGTACAACGTTTAACCTAAATGACACACTCACACGTTTAGTGAATAGTTTCACTGGCTGAGACTGTTCATAAGTTTGAGTTTTTTTTCTCGTGCTGATTTCTCTTATGTCCTGTTTTCCTCACACTCCTCACTTTCTCCTGTTTGACAGAGGAAGGAGGGTATTTGGGATGATGAGGCTCTCCAGCTGACCCAGCAGCTGCTATCATCCAATCCTGATTTTGCAACTCTCTGGAACTACAGAAGAGAGATCCTGATGCACCTGGAGACTGTGAAGTAAAATCATCACTAGTTATTTAGTATAACATTTAACACTTTTTGTTTGGTAAATAATCTCAGATTTGACAGAGGAATAATGGTTTTGTGTCTGTATGTCTGCTCCAGGGAGAAGGATGAAGTGCAAAAGATTTACGAGGGCGAGCTGTCATTTTTGGAGTCTTGCCTGAAGGTGAACCCAAAGTCCTACGGCAGCTGGCACCACCGAGGTTGGGTCTCAGCCCGTTTGCCTCGACCGGATTGGGCCAGAGAGCTCACCCTGTGTGACCGTTGCCTGAGCCTGGATGACCGAAACTGTGAGTAATGGAGTAGAAAAAGGAAAAAACAAGAACATGGAGGGCGTGGAGACATTGTCTTGTCTGTTTACCCAGATCTGGTACAACCCTGACCTTTTTCCACACTTTATTTATCCTTTATTGAACCAT